TCAAAACAAATGATTAAACTCAATTATCTCAAAATAAAATATACGTAAAAAAGGGCTGTTTTAATAGATAACACCCCAAATGCCCTCAGGTGAAATTCATACTTTAAGCTGGAACATAGCTATCAATAATAATTGGAATTTGGACACAATGATCTAGTACAGTCTTCAACGAAGCCTTTCTGTAAATATCCATCTCTTTATTAGACCTAAAAAATTAATATCACATGATCTCATATCAATAAGATGCAAGACCAAATATGTGACAGGGTATAACTAATTGATTAATAATAACTATATAATAGATTTTATTGTTAGGGTAGTTTGGGAAGGGTTAGAAAGAATCTTAGATCAAAATTATGAACAGAATTTTTTTTCTTAGAGCGCCAAAAACAGTTCATAGACAAAATTTTAATGTAGAAAAATTCTTTTTCTCAATTTTGTCAATCAACTATCACACATTCCTAAAGTGCCAATGAGAACAGTTCTTCCTTTTGAATAGTGGTATTCCAATACTAATTATAAAATTTGTCACTATAGAGAGTACTATAGACTTTTAAAAACAAAAATTTTTATTAAATCTTAATAGCTGACTACAATTTCATATGAATGCCTATGTAACAATCTGATGCTATCCAACATTATTATCACTATTGCTAGTGTTTTGTTTCATTACTTTCTTAATATTACTTAAGAGCAAAATTTTGTATACTATTCGTCTAATTTAGCAATCCATACAAAAGCAATTATCTGTTACAAATAAATTAATCTGACTTGAGAACACGAATTATTATTATATTGCCTTATCTAATTAGAGCTTCGAGATTTCATTGTTAAATATTCTATTATTTTCTATTATTATTATCTATTATTTCTTAAATGTTATCTATACTTAATGTGTGATTGGTTTATTTGTAGTCATCACAAAATAGAAAAAAACTCTATTCATGCAATCATTTTATCACGCTATGCTTTAATTAAGGTGTGTATACAAATCAGTTAGTTTTATACTGAAAGGTTATAGATATACTGAGAGATTATAGATCACCTTTAAATAGAAAATATTGCTTATGCAATATTGAGAGATTCCTCATTATAGTAAAACCTGATCACAGGTATATTATAGAACAATACATACTTATGACCAGTCTTACCAAAATAAGAGACACCTCAATATCACATAAGTAATATTACAAAGGTCTAATTATTCTGCTAATGCAATTATTTGTTATGTCATGTCTAGTGATGGGAAAATATATTTTTTTCTGATTATATGTATGGATGCGCATAAAAAAAAAGCAGAGCCTTATAAATTTTGATGGAGAAAGCGTATTTTTCAGGAATATGCACATGAATAGACGAGCATGAATAGATGTGCATGAATATATATTGACCTATCTTTAGCCATGTTCTAATTATGATTTATATACAAATCTGTTAATTCCATACTTATGATAATTGTTGGGATAATAATCAAAAAATCAATCTACTTTTGAACCAAATATCCTAATTAGCTGTAATTCTATACTTGTTGAATTAATGCAATCATTTATCGAACTATGCCTTATTTAAGCTGTGTATACAAATTCATTAATGCCATATTTGTTAAATTAATGCAATAGTTTATCGAACTATGCTTTACTTAAGTTGTATATACAAATCTTATTAATTCTATACTTAGGTTGATCGTAATTATTGCATGTCTATATTTGTGATTATAGCAGACCACTGGGATTATATCAACTTAAATAGAGAGTAAGAAAAAGAAAAATTATTTAAAGGTTTCAATGAAAGGATTTGTATATAAATTATAAGTCATGATGTAAAAAAAAAATGTATAAAAAATTATTAAATTTATCTTGACTAAACATCTAATTTTGTGTAAATTTTAAAAAAAAAAAATAATAATAATAATAAACACTCTTTAAAATATATAATATATAAAAACAAATTCATATTAATACAATGCTTAGAAAATAACTATTTTCTTCAAGAATCTTTGATATAGGTGTTATAGACCCACAATTACATTATGGAGTTTGGACTAAAAACTGGTAGGAAAAGGTTCAATTGGAATTAGAAAATGAAACAAAAAAATTTATAATACCTTATCGCTTATATATGTACATTGTATATGAGCTTAATGGTAAAACTTTTACTATTAATGTTTTATCTAATAACCAAAATTTGCTAAACCCAGGCTTTCAATGTTCCTGTGATGAAATTAAAACAAATATTGAGTTAAGTTCATCAAAAGCAATTAATATATGCTACCAAACAATATTTAAAACCAAAACCAAATATTCTGGATTAGCTGTGATAGGATTCGATAACGAGAATATTATCTGACAATTGACTGTTGATATAGAATTTTTGCTAATATTTCTTAAAATAGAAAACAAATTCGTTGTGATAATAACAAGCATCAGTGATCTAGATGAAGGTAGATTCTATAGAGTCAGTACTAGATTTGTTTCTTCATTCACGGCATATTATAACAAAGCATAATACCTTTTTGTATTAAAAATCAAAGTTTGTCAATATACTTTAGAAATTTATTCAGAATTAGTATGTATTAAAATGATTGTAGAAGATACTCTGGATGAAGTTTGGAAAAAATTAGAAATTTTTCAAAAATACACCAGATCGTACCTTTTTGGAATTACAAGTGTATTAGTTCACAAACATCTAAATATATTGAGAAATGAATTTCTAATATATACTGTTAATAATTAGACTAATAGACAACAATTAGAAAAAGTATTTATGCATCACATAAAATCATGCAAAATACCAAATACAATAACTAATTAGCAATCTCTTTTTGATGAATAGTATCAACAAAAATACACCATAATCCAATTTTTACTTAAATTACAAAAAATATACCCACCTAAATATAACTTTCATGAAAAAGAATTACGGACATGGCAAGCAATGTTTGTTGCATATGAATGTACTAATATAACTTCTATTTCAAAAAATGAGTTATCTATAGAATTTTGGAGTAAAGCATTAAACCCTAGTGCTGACAAAGAATTGCTACAAAACCTTCATAAAAGTAATGTTATTTAATTAAATAATAACATTTTAGTACTAGCATCAGAACTACATAAAAATTTGCAAGATACAGATTTTTGAGATATCTTTAGAGATACAATACGATCAAATAAAAGAGGATCCGATAGCAAAATTCATATCCTTTCGATGATTGCTCTAAAATTTAAATACCATGAACTTATAGAAGAATTACAAGTAAGTAATAATATTATAGAATTTTGGCAAAGTTTTTGAATCAGAATTTATATATTAAAGTCAGTTTAGTCAATTTTAATATATGAAAATAGATTCTAACCTTTTCATTAGAGATAAAAAATTTCAAACTTTAATGCCTTAAATTTTCTAAATTTGCTAAAATCAAGTTTCTGTATAATATTTTTTAATGTATTGCTATAATTTCATTTGATTCTTATGCCTATTAGGTTGGATCAGAAATAATAAATAAAGTTAGAAAATATGTTCGACTTTATGGCCTGGGCGCATCTTCCTTGAAAAAACCCATAAGAGCTATCCAACGATTAACCAAAATTCAAGAAGATCAATTCTTATTATTTTTTCAAAATCAAAAAAATATTATCCCTTAAATTGTAACACAGGCAAATTTGCTTGCGTTTATTTTTTTAAACTCTAATTTTTTAATAAACTCTTAAATATTAATTTTAACAATATACTTTCTAAATAAAATATATTTTTAAAGATCTACTTTATTAACTTTGTTAAG